GCAGGGAGTCTGCTTCTCCCTCTGACCCTCTCCCCTCTTGTGCTCTTTCTCTCTCTCTCAAATAAATAAATAAAATCTTAAAAAAAAAAATGTGTTCAAGAGCTAATAAACACAAAATGTAAAGTCATGGTTTGCTACATTAATTCTTCCCAGATATATTTGATATTTCTACTATTGTCTTCAGTATCTTTACATGATCTCCAGAGTAGAGGTGTATTTGTTCCATGAGCTCACACTGCCCTTGGGCCTCTCCCTGTGCGTAGCCCTTTTCTCTGCTGGAGGGCTTGCTCTTTCCTGTAGAAGGGCAGCATCCCAGGGATGCAACAGGTGCAACAGCTCTCTTCCTGCTTTGATTCAAGACAATTTTTTAACTTGAATATAGAGAATGGGTGCTCAGAATTTCCTTCTCCTATCAGCCTCAGGTCAAAGAACCATAAAATCATGACATTAAAAGAGATTCTTTCACTGAATCATGACCCTCTGTAGTTCTGGTAACAAGTGACACCCCCCCCCAACCTCCTACTTCTCATCGTTTGTGATGTCCTTTCTGACTAGATCTCTTGACCAGCAACCCCAAACAACAAGCAACAAAAGTTTCCATGCTTTGGCTCTGTAGCATTGATCTCTGACTCAAGAACTGTCCAATCCTGATTAAATCCACTCCTCCCCTCCCAGTGGCCCTCACCTAACTGAGAACAGAAGCAAGAGAGAGAGGGCACGCCCTTTCCTGCCTGGATCATCTCCTTTCCCACCACCTGAGCGTGATGATCACATTGCACAGAAGAAAGCAGATCTGAGGCTGCTGCCAGTTCATCTGCCTTTGCCACAGTCAAGTTGATTTTCCAATGTGGACTACCAATTCCAGGATGCTAGGGAGCTCCACTGCCCATACCCTTCCCCAGAGTAGGGATGAGAAAACAAAACAGGATTTATTACCAGACTATGAGATTCATCTCTCAAGACCGATTTGCAGGGCAATATGGCAACTTCATGGCCCATGCTTATGTGTGCCCTTTGTTGTCCACATCTGTCCCCTTTCCAAGGGGAATACTTCGAAAAGCATGAGCCTTTTAGAAGGCAGAACTCTCTCTCCTAAGAAAGACGCTGTCTTATCTGAAAGCAGGGACAGGGAGAAGTGGATTATAGCAAGAGATTGGGAAGAGTTGTAATGTATGCCAAACGGAATGGCCACAGCATCTCCCCTCCACCCCACCTCCCCCCCCCTCTTGCTCTTTGTTCTGTACTTTTCTTGAGGAAACTGGCACTTGGAAATGAATTTTACACTCAGGTCCTATACTTCAATAAGGAAGGGCAGCGTGAAGTTAGGGTAAAAACATGACTCTGAGGTCAGACAGACTGAGTTTGAATCCTAGCAGAGCTGCTGACAAGCCAGACGATTTGGGCACACTGAAGAATTTTCTGAGCTCTAGCATCATCTTCTATAAAACAAGGCTAATACTATCCACCATCCAGGATTGGTGGGAGATAAAACACATAATGGAACCCCAGGCTCTCAGAACGTGTCCATTCTTTCTTTAGTATGAATTTAAGTGAATGTGTCTCTGCTACTGATTGAAAGGCACTGTCCCATGTGAAAGGCTTATCAGGCATCAGCAAGAAGGTAGGGGAGCAATTGGGAGAAGTGGGGTTAGAGTTCAGGTGGCAGCCAGGCTTGCTCGGTTGAAACAACACACAAAACAATAGCTCCCTCAAGGGCCTATAACCAAGGCTGACATTGCCTCTGAGGTTGCAGCAGGAAGGGGGAGAGGGGGGCTGGCTGACTCAGGGCTGTGGGTGGCTCTGGGGATGTCCTTTCTGAGTGAGGAAGGGCTGAGCCACAGGATAGCCAAAGGGCAAGAACACTACAACTATGGGATGGCTCCATTCCAATAGACCGCCCCAGATCCCACAACGCCCCCTCTCAGCAGACAGGGAGTCCATGTGGCCCTCTCCAATCCTTTGTCCCCTGACAGATAGCAAAAGCACCCAGGATGTTGGACACTCGGATATTTTGGGTCTGTGCTACATCCAGAGGCCCATTTGGCCCGTGTCTATATTACATCGGCATGATCCAGCCCATTCTGTAGAAGGTCTTTGTATGGATGAGGCTTGCTTTTTTGTTCTTGTGATGGTAGTAAAATATACATAATGTAAAACTTTTTAAGTTCAGTGGCATTAAATAAATTCACATTGTTGTGCAACCACCACCACCGTCCATCTCCAGAACTCTTTATCTTGTAAAGGTGAAACTCTGTACCCATTAAATAATAACTCCCTATTCCCTCCCTTGCCCCAGCCCCTGGCAACCATCATTCGACTTTCTGTCTCTATGAATATGGCTACTCTTGGTACTTCATGTAAGTGGACTCCTATTTGTCCTTTCAAAACTGACTTATTTCACATAGCATAATATCTTCAAGATTCATCCATATTGTAGTATGTTGTCAGATTTCCTTCCTTCTTGAGGTCAAATAATATTCCATTGTTTGTATAGACCCCATTTTCTTTATCCTTTCATCTGGACACTTGTGTTGCTCCCATCTTTTGGCTATTGTGAATAATGCTGCTATGAACATGAGTATAGAAGAATCTTTTCACATCCCAGCTTTTAATTCTTTTGAGTATATATGTAGAAGTAGGATTGCTGAATCATATGGTAATTCTATGTTTAATTTTTTGAGGAATTGTCATACAGTGACTCCATCACTTTACATTCCCACCAACTGTGCACAAAGATTCTATATGAGGCTTTCTTTATTGCATAGGTTGGGTCTAATCCATCTGTATTCCCAGCTTGAGGTCACTAGTGACTCAGTCTTTCTGGCACCTGCCAGGCCTCTCACTTTCCAGCACCTACTTGCAGCTTCCTTAGAGATGTAGTTTGTTCCCACCACTTTCTTGTCCTCTAGCAGATTCCTTTGGTTTTTGACAGGGGCTCACCTTTGACATCCACAGCTCACCCACAGTTCTCTCTGGGACTGGTAGCATTCTGCATGATGCCCAGGGTGACACCCACCCTGAGGACTGCCCACACGGTGGGATGGGAGCCAGGCCTGGTTAACAGCTGCGGCAAACACTACCTTTGTCATCCTGCCTCCTGCCCCATACTGGTCCCCCCACAGATGCCCCTACCCTGCTTCATTCCTTGGTCTTAGTTTCCACTGCAACTGATCATGTCTGACAATATAAATGGACAGAGTAGTATTTCATCTTGAAGATGAAGATGTTCAGGATCCATTAGAGAACTCCCCAAAAGAGAAATATAAGAGAGTTTGGATAATATTGGGGGGTTGCAGGCTCAGAACAAAAAACCCTCTTATATCCCTCCACCATGAAGTCAAATGGTCAAGGCCTCTCACGGCATCTTTGTGTAATTAGATAAAAATGCCCTTTTGGGATCAGGTATAGAGCTCAGCTAAAAGACCGAACATTACGCCATATTCTCTGGGCACAGTCAGCCTTATGGATACATGATGTGGGTGAACAGGTACCATCTCCTCCTCCAGGTCCTGGAAGACACACAGCTCTGCAAGCAGAGCTAATGCTGATTTTCAGCTCCCACTTGCCCCTGGTGATAACTGTAAGCAGTAGTTCTGGGCTGTCGATGTTTCTAACATCCATTCCTTCTGCTATTACCACCTTGTGGACAAGGCATTTACCGATCATGCTTGGCAGGAAGATTTTCTCTGAAGACCATAAACTAAAGGTCTATTTATCACTCACCTAGTGATCCAAGAGCAGACAAGGGTCTCCTTGCATCAGGCAGGAGGGCAACCCAGAAACCACTGGGCTATCAACCCAAATACCAAAGCCATGGCCCTGGCTTCCCTCACCCAGTTCCACACACACACAACCACACAGAGCGTCTCACCTGAGCCACCTCTTCAAAGTCATCGTGCCTCTTCTGCAGGGCCCGGGCTCGATGCAGCGACTTCCCAACCCCGGTGTGTTTGCTGAGAAAGGCCTCACCGTGGTTTTCAATCCAGTCCAACACCTGGTCAGGGAAGGAGGACAGAAACAATGACTCCCTGGCAGAAGGAAAGCCATGTGACAACATGAGCGACCGCCAGCATCCTAGAGTTCCCATCCCCATCAGAAAGCAACAGTCCAGCTGGACATGTTCAGCCCACCATCGATCCAGGGATTTCACTACTGTCACTGGTCACGTAACAGTCCACCCTGAACTAAAGTCAGCTCATCTTTGATCTCCAGGGTATCCCCTCGTTACATTTCAGCTTTCCCAGCCTTAATTAGTCCATTATTTTAAACAAGCTACACAGACCATCAGGCACAGTTTAAGCCCCTCACTACCTTTACTCCACCCACATAAAGTCAGACACACTGGTGGAAAATTAGGCAGCATCAGGTCAGGGCGATTCCTTGGCCCTCACAGCCTACTCATCCCTCACTGCCCCAGAAAAATGCTCACAGCAGAGGCAACTAATCATGGGGCCCCTGCCTCCTTGCGCTCCTGGGACTCCCTTCCTGATCTTGAGAGGAAAGTCGGCACTGGTTAGTCCCCACCTGGCTGCCCCAGAGAGTGATCACCAGGACAACTGTCCTTTGTGGCTTCCTTCCTTCCACCCCTCTCCTCCGATCAACACCAACCTCCCAACCAAATAAATCAAGGTCTTTACATCCTAAGGCCTTTAGTATCTATGATTCTCTTTGGGGAAGAAGTGGAGACCCCATGTTTTTCTAGGCTTAAGACCTAGTGATTTGGCCTCGGGACATTTTCCTTGGTATTTAGAGAAGGTGGAACAGCCATAGAGGGATGAAGAGGGGATGCTAAGAAGGTGAGAAAATAGGAGGGGCACTGGACGGGGGAAGCCGTGAAGTGGAGGGAGGACTAAAGCCTTTAACATCTATTTTGCATTCACGCTGATGGCCTAACAAACACATGGGGTGCCTCCCAGGGAGAAGGGAAACAGTTCACCTCCTGGTCTCTGAAGAGTTGGCGCTCAATAAAGCAGGTGGCCACAATTAAATCAGAGTGTACAGCCAAACACTTGTTCTAGATCCTGCCAAGACAACTGAGCTCACTCTGTTCTGGCTATTCTGGACTTAACCTGAACATCTGGTTAATGATGTACTAGCCTTCTCAGGTTCTAGAGGACTTTCTGGAAAAATGATTTAGATGAACTGGGCCTGTTTATTTATTTATTTTTAAGATTTTATTTATTCATTTGAGACAGAGATACAGAGAGAGAGAGAGCAGGAACAGGGGGAGAGGCAGAGGGAGAAGGAGAAGTAGGCCCCCTGCTGAGCCAAGAGCCTGATGTGGGGCTCAATCCCCAGACCCTGGGATCATGACACGAGCCAAAGGCAGATGCTTAACCATCTGAGCCACCCAGGCTCCCCAGGCCTGTTTAAAAGGATGTTTTAGGGGTCCCTGGGTGGCTCAGTCAGTTAAGCACCTGCCTTTGGCTCAGGTCATGATCTTGGGGTCATGGGAGTCTGCTTCTCCTCTCCCTCTGCCCTCCCTCCGCTCTTGCATGTGCATGTTCTCTCTCTCAAATAAATAAATAAATTCTTAAAAATAAATAAATAAAAGGATGCTTTAGTCCATTCCTCTGTTACTTCTACGGATTGCCCTGTGGCAAGCAGACAGACCAAATCATTCCATTGACTACAGGCATGGGAGTTCTGGCTCCAAAGAATCTAGCCTTTGGCCTCACTTCCTTTAACATTTGAAATAAATTACACCTGCAATTGTGCAAAGTAAAGAAGCCTTCCAAGTCTTCAGTGACACTATCACAAAGCTCACAACAAGATTGGTATTGGGTCAGAGAAATGTACATATGAATATAAAAATGAGATTTAACAAACATCCACTTAACAAAACTGGAATGTAAGATAATTGCCCATTAAAAAGGAGAAAATAAAGGCTTCTTAGAAAATGACTATATAAACATTGGGTGTAGAGATTTAACTATTTTATATAACAAGTTCTGGCAATATATGTTTTTAATATTCCGGAGGCATGTCTATGAAAAGAAATTGCAGTAGTAAATGAACTGGATTTTTACCTTTTGCAAACACTGAAAAGCAGCACTGAAAGGAATTCTAAATGTTCCTTTCTTAGAAGAAATAAGAGCCCACAACTCTCTAGAATTATGTATGGGGACATTTCAACAACAACAACAAAAATCAGGAGAGTGCATTTTTACTTGGCCTGACACAATGTGATCCCACAATTTTCTATTGTAAAGAGGATGATGAGCATCAGCATGCAAGGTCAAAGAAAAATACTTCTAGTGACAAAGTTTTCCATGTTTTGTGTACCATGGATAGTACAGCTCTATAATTTTTACGCATATTTAAACTTATATTAATACCATGAAGTGAAGCTTATGGATAATTTTGATAATTTTTATATACAAAAGAGCTGTCTTGTGGCTTTTCAAGACTGCTTCAGTATTTATGACAGATTTTCAGATTACAGTTATTTTTTTATTTAGTTGTGAGCAGTTAAGTGTGATCTGCTCGCCTGGTAATGTTTTAACGAGTTTATTTTATTTCATTTCATTTTGTATCTTTAGCTTTAATAAAATTTGTTATGCTAAAAACAAATTGGTTTAAGAGGAAAGCTTTCCATCTACTAGTTCGCAAATGGTTAGCTTTCACACTCCCTGGGGGTAATTTCACAACTTGTGAAGTTCTCTTAAAAAGCAATTTGTGTTCTACTTAAGTTCTTTTGCTTTCTTTAAAATGTCAATTCATTGTCAGTTAATGACCCTTAAGTTGACTTAATTAGTTCTACCTTAACCTCTTAAAAATCTATTATTCATATTCACTAGGCTTTTATTAGTTTAAACATAACTTTGATTGCTCTGTGATGTTATATTGTCTCCATTTAGTCCAGCTTCTGTCATCAGAACCGAAGCTGTGGGGAACCCATGAGCAACCTCAGTGAAGATGCAGAGACTGCGTGGAAATCAATTTAACAAATAAGAAGGCAAATGATTTAGGATGTGAACAAAATTACTTTAATAATCATAGAGACTGAAAAAGTACCTGAGGATAGAGAAACATAATCAGAACATGAGGTATTGTTTAAAATGCTGATTTCTGACCCTTTTGTTTCAGACAGTTCATTTAGAGCCAACCTTGTTTGACACACATTTCGACCCCATGCTCTCCTGACTCTGATTCCATGTCCCCCAATTCTGGGAGAACAATCTAGCTTCTCCCCTAGATTGCACAGCAGAGAAATGTGCTTTCTGAGCAGACACCAGCAGTGCCTGATAATTACATGACACCCCGTAAATTAATGTGCAGCATCAGAAGGCTGGATATCCCACAGTTTCGGGTGCATCCCAGACTTGGGACATGACTGGTTGAAGAATAAACTGCATTTCTAGCCAAATCCCTGGAGCCCTACTGAAGCATCTGCACCCATCAAGGTGCCCCTCATTAGCTATCTTTGTTTAACTTCTCTCAGCTACAAAATTTTATTTAAAATAATCAATTATTAATTTTAGTCAAGATAGTACAGGATGATAGTTAATAATACCTATTAATGGCTTTGAATTGGTTTTCAGCTGTTTCCAACGTAGAAGGTTTTATTTTTTAGTTTTTGCCTGTGGGTTCTTCAGGGAGCAATGAAGCACATGTGGGATGTGAATATCGTTGGATTCAAACAGATACTTACTAGTCCTATTGTGCCCTAGTGCTGGGCACTAGAACAGCCCAGGATGCAGTATTAAACAAGGCAGGCAGGGCCCTGACTCTGGGAACTCAGTCTATATCGGGAACAGGCACTGGACAGGAGATCACATAATTATTTGTGATCACACATTAATTGCAATGGTGGGAGTGCCAAGAGTTAGGGAAGGCCTCTCTGAGGAAGTGAGGTACAGCTGAGCGCTGAGAGAGAGTAGGACTTAACCAAGCTAGGAAGGAAAAACATCAGCATGGCCTGAGTAGGGGTAAGCAGGTAATGAGTCCAGAGAGGCAGGAAGCAGACATGCTGAGTCCTGGTGTGCCCAGTCAGATTGCAGGGCTTGTCCTAAGAGCCACCGAAGGGCTGACCTGCATTTGAAAGTTACTACTTTTGCTTGGTGGAGAATCGGAGGAAGGTAAGAGTAGAGGTGGGGTAACAGGACGTTATTGCAGAAATCCTGACAAGAGGTGATGGTGGCTCAGAGGAGCCCAATGGCAGTGGCCGTGGAGAGACAGGTGTGAGTAATATTAGGGGGAGAGAATGGCCAGGATTTGGTGGTTAGGTGTGGGGGCAACAGAGGTGCAGGTAGAGGGCTGACCCCCTGAGGCATGGCTTGAATAACTGTGTGGAAGGAGGATCTGGTCACTGGTGCAGAAGCAAATGAGTTATGAGGGACAGCACAGAGATAACAGATTTTTCTTGCTTCCTTTCCATTTTCACAGTCATGCTCTGGTTCTGATAAATGACAGGTATGCCTGTGAACTTGAGTGGCAAGGAGCACCCAATGATAGTGGTCAATCTGATTCGGGCAAGATGTGCCCTTAGTTTCAAAGGAGCAATTTTATACCCTCAGGTTTAAAAATAAGTTATAAGTGGTTAATATAGTTGGATCCTAAAATTAACAAATTAGGGACACCAATTCGTTTGAAAAACACAAACTTTGGCTTAAATGGAATTAACCTGTGCATTCTTTTTTTTAAAACATCTTTCAGGGGCGCCTG